CTCACAGGGTTCGCGGGGTCTATCCCAACGGTAATCACGTCATCGTGCTCAGCGACGGAGTGTTGTGACGACTGCTCACCAACCTGGACATCACAGACTTCATCTTGCGAGCCACACACAGGATCTGGGTTCGTCGGGTCTGGACTCGCATGGTCTTCTGGCGGCTCCTTCTTCTCAGCCTCTTGGGTTGCATCTGCCTCTGGCCCACTGGCAATCATATCATTGTACTCAGCCACGGAGTGTTGTGACGACTGCTCATCAACCTCGCTGGCATCATCTTCCTCTGCCCCACCGGCAATCACGTCATTGTACTCAGCCACGGAGTGTTGCGACGAACACTCCTCCTCGTCCGAGTACTCGTCTTCTTCACCTTCTTCGCCCTCCAAACCCTCGGATCCAGACCCATCCGAGTACTCATCCTTTTCGTTGAGGGCCCCGTTGTTGGCGCCGGTGCTCGACAGACGCTCCTCGCCCGAGGCTTCGAGGGGACGGTCGTCCTTCTCCGCCGATCCTGAGTCCTGCACGAAAGCCAGGCACACGCACAGCACAACAATACTGGAACAAAACAAGCCCCGAGTCCTTGTCTGCTTCTTCTTGCAAGTCGCATGAAGGGGCTGGACACATGAAGTCTCCACCCTCCGGCACGGATACCATGATCTCCGCTGGCTCCTCCTTCTCGGCCTCTTCATTTGCGCCGCTGGCCTCATCTGCCTCTACCCCACCGGCAATGACATCATTGTGCTCAGCCGCGGAGTGTTGCGACGAACACTCGTCCTCGTCCGAGTACTCGTCTTCTTCATCTTCTTCGCCCTCCAAACCCTCGGATCCAGACCCATCCGAGTACTCATCCTTTTCGTTGAGGGCCCCGTTGTTGGCGCCGGTGCTCGACAGACGCTCCTCGCCCGAGGCTTCGAGGGGACGGTCGTCCTTCTCCGCCGATCCTGAGTCCTGCACGAAAGCCAGGCACACGCACAGCACAACAACACTGGAACAAAACAAGCCCCGAGTCCTTGTCGGCTTCTTCTTGCAAGTCGCATGAAGGGGCTGGACACATGAAGTCTCCACCCTCCGGCACGGATACCATGATCTCCGCTGGCTCCTCCTTCTTGGCCTCTTCATTTGCGCCGCTGGCCTCATCTGCTTCTGCCCCACCGGCATTCACATCATTGTACTCAGCCGCGGAGTGTTGCGACGAACACTCGTCCTCGTCCGAGTACTCGTCGTCTTCACTTTCCTCGCCTTCCAAAGCCTCCGATCCAGACACATACGAGTACTCATCATCTTCTTTGAGGACCTCCTTGTTGGCGCCGGTGCTCGACACATCGACACGTTCCTCACCGGAGCCTTGGGCGGAACGTTCCTCTTTCTCCGCTGAGACAGTGTCCTGCGAGAAGGGAAGGCACAGGTACAGCACCCCCCACAGGTGTCTTTTTGTCCTTGCTTTGACTCGAAACGCAGGATTTACGTTGGTTTTGGCTGTTGTTGGCTTGCTCTATTTAGACAAGCTGATGATTTACTGTCGCTTTTGTGGGCGATGTGCTGCAGCCAGCTTTTGTGTTTAAATGCGCCGCCTGCGTGATGTTGTGTTGCTGGCTTTTCTCAGAGTGACTGCACTCCTTTGAGTTTGCGGCTTTGGTCTCCGGGTGTTGTGGGGGCTTCGGGCTTTGCAGTGCTCTGGTTTTGGGATTTGGATTTGTGACTTGGCTTAGAGTTTCGGGCGGAATGCCGTGATGGGGGACTTGGCTGCGGGCTTGCACTGCCGTGGGGTTGGTCGCCAGCTTGAAGGCTTCAGGCTCCGGGCTTTCAATACGACGCGTCGCGGTTGGGGCTCGGACTGCTGGTTCTCAGCCAAGCGAGTCTGTGCTGGAAAGCTTCCATCACTAGAGGCTTGTACCCAAAGCCTGCACCTGGCGGGAACTAAACTGACAGACGACACCGATGTCATCAATATGAGTGCATGTGGCAGAAGTAGGTAGCCCCAGCTCACTGCAAGAAGTCATCGTCGAAGCTAGCAACAGGAGGAAGCAATCATAGACAGAAGTAGCAGGCCCCCATATGGCAGCATCAGCAGCAGATATGGAAGAAGAGCAGGGGCAGTAGCCCTGCAATGACAGTACTCGCGGCAATAGTCCTGATGTGGAAAGTAGTCGCAACGCAGCAGCAAGATCAGCACCAGAAGCACAGGCCATGGATGCGGCAAGAACCACACTTCGAACTTGTTCTGGCGCAGAGCAAAAAAGTTCAACCAAGCACAGAGTCCTTGTCGACTTCTTCGTTCGAGTCACACGGAGGGGCTGCCTTAGCGGAGTCTCCCTCTCGCGAATCTTCCTTCTCAGCCTCTTTGTTGGCGTCGCCGGCCTCGTCGGCAGAGATTTCGGAGTACTCGTCCTCTGAATACTCGTCGGAGTACTCTTCTTCACTTTCCTCGCCCTCCAGACCCTCAGATCCGGATTCATCGGAATACTCATCCTCTTCGTTGAGGACATCCTTGTTTGCCGTTTTGCTCGGCACATCGACATGCTCGTCACCGGAGCCTTCCGAGGAGTATTCTTCCGAGTACTCGGAGTACTCGTCCTCCTCCTCGTCGTTCATCTTGGAACCCTCCGCATCCGTCCTGGACTCCTCCACCGGTCCAGCGGGACAGGATTCCGGAGCGGATCCTTTTGAGCCCACTTGTTCCAGGCCGTAGCCGTCGAAGCAGCATTGCGGCACCTCCACTTTGGATCTGCGTCTTGCGAGCGCATCTCCCAATGTCTCCATGATGGAGTGGCAGCCCTACACTCTCTGGCCTATAGACAATCCTCCCTGGCAGAGTCGCTATGAAACCACTACATGATCGGGGATGTTACCTTGGGGTATCTCCTGAAACCACGGGATGTCTCGAGAGAGAGGCTCTTTGAGCAGAGGCGGTGGCAGGTTGATCGCGTGCACGAGAAGAAGGTGCATGCCAAGGTGGAAATGGCAACGTGCAAGCAGCGAACGAACTCTCGGACTCGCTGAACAGCACTTTCCATGCCCTGCGGCCGTCAGAGCCCGCATCCCAGAGCCGCTGGCCTTTCAGCTCAGCCCCTGGGTAGTCAATCCTCACAACGCAGCCCCGCCTTTCCGTGTTCTGAGTTCCTTATGTTTTGACTTGTGGGTGTCTGTGCGTTTCACTCCGATCTCAATTTGTGGCATTCCAGCGTTATTTACAGAGGAGGGGCGTCACGGCGTCACACCAAGACACAGCCATACTGAGAATGGCAAGGCTGTATTCCTGCAAATTGGGAACACTTACATACATATGATGCTTGCAATGTCGCAACATATATTGTATCAGGGGTGTAAATTGTCGGTACGTACACAGCTCTTGGTTTCTGCTGCAGCACTTCAGTACTGCTTACCTATGAAGGGTTTCACGGCAACACACAGCCACAATGACAATCGCACTGCAGTATATGTAAGTGCGGATGCGCGTGTATGCGTAAACATATACTATGTTATATATATATATATATATATATTTTTATTTATTTATTTATTTATATTTATTTATTTATTTATTTATTTATATATATATATATAACATATGTAGATAAAGTACAGACACGTCACACAAAGCGAACCTCCAAATTATGTTGTACGTTGGCAGAATCCAGCACCGCTTTTGCACTAGGCGCCCGGAATCCTTATGGTCCAGGCCGCTGCATGTCCTCCGTCCTCCGCCTTGGGCGTGGGGAACTTAAAACGCCCGGCAACCCAGGTGCCTTTGGCAACCCGGGTTGCCGGAGTAACTAAATGCATATGAACCGTTTGCAGGAACTGGAAACAAGCAACACATTATCTCGTTTTGAATCACTTTCTGTTGGGATTCACACATCATTCGCAGAATTACTTCCGCAACCGGCTCACATAAAACTAAATCATTAAACATCACGCGCTCAGGCTCATCTCGATTCTGAGCGCGGTGTAGTAATTCTTGAGTGGGTCGTCGCTGTGCCCGTTCTGAAAGAGAAAATAGGCGCGTTCCAAAACACGCCTTTCCAAGCTGCATGCCAGGTCGCGCTCGTGGGCCTCCAGGGCCATCTGGTCAACCTGCAGAACACCACCACACTCCCGGCGTTCAATCCGAACAATCTTTGAAAGAACTTCAGCAACTGACTCAAAACAACCCGCCTGACACGAATCATGGGCATCGCTGCCGTGGTGGTGGGCACTGCTGGCATGATGCTCCTCCCCACTTCGGCGGCTGCTCTCCATCTCAACCGCCGGCACTGCGTGCTGAGCTGTGCTGCCGTTTGGAGCAAGCAAGAAGTTGGACAAAGGCTGTGGAGGTGGCTCTGTCTTGTTTTCAGGAACCGGTGGGAGGAACAAGAACTCCGAAAAGCTAGAGCTCTGCACCGGCACGGGTTTGGTGGCTGTGGACGGCCCGGATTGGGCTGTCCTTTTCTTGTCTTCCATTCCGGAGGCTTCGGGAGCTGTTGCGGACCGGGGTCTGGGGCTGATTGACCTGTGGTCGACGTGCTCCGAGAACCGAAGGGTCTTCTTCGGTCTGGGCTTCGTGGGATCCCTAGTAAGAAGTGAAGATGGCAGCGTGTGCGTCCTGCCGCTGGCATCGGGCTTCACGCTTGCCGGCACCTCTGTTGCTGCTTGAAAACGCAGCGGCAGCCAAGGACCATCCTCCAGCACGGTCCGGCCGCACAGCGCCACCTCCCGCTTCATGACGGGTCCTGGAACGCTGTCTATGCCTGTCTGAGTCCCACTCGCCATGGCGCTCCCGGTGCTCCCCGTCGCCGTGATCTTGTCCCCGGAATCCTCTCACGGAACCAGGCCGGCAGGTAGACAGCAGACGATTGGCAGATGTGTCTACCCCCGTGTTATGCTCGCGCCTGGGCCTGGGGCACAGTCTGAGCCGTGTGACCGAGCGGATCCTGCGCTGACTGTTTTGGAGTTTTCAGGGTCAGAGGCGGTAGAATCGGTCGACCATTTTCTGGCGTGGTTCAACTTCGACTGCGGCAGTCCTCCAGCAAAGACATGGACCCACGCCGCTGTAGGACATGAGTCGCGGTGCTTCCTGTTCCCATAAGGGCTCGCGACCCGCCAATGCCGGCAGCATGGCTAGGTTTGGCCAAGCCGGCAGACGGATTGACCAGCTGTGAGTCCGTGCTGGCGCGCTCGATTCGCATGCTCATCTTCTTGTCGCTGGAATTCACCTCTTCATTCTCACAGAACTGTCCCTAAGCTGGAATTAAGACTGACAAAGGACACAGGGCAATGAGCTCAAGTGTCCATCCCGCCTGGGGATCGGTCTGGGACATCACGCGGACGTCCGGGTTCTGCTTGGGCGAATCCTGCTCTGAAAGCGCATACCAAAGAACCTACACCTACCGATGTAAATAGAACTACAAACGGAGCATTTAAATTTACGTCAACAGAACTCGTCTGTACACGCCCTCGCTTTTGCCGCTCCTCCGCAGCCGCTGCCTCCTCCAGCTCCGCAGCTGCCTGCGCAGCTGCCGCCTCAGTTTTTGCCTCCACAGCTGCGGCCTCCGCACTCTCTGCAGCCTCGGCCTTTGGTTCACTAGGCTCATCAGCCTCTGGTGCTGAATCATCCATGGAGCCGATGTCAAAAAACTCGGGCAAACTCGCGCTCTGCTGGGCAGTCGCCGGAGGCTCGAGGTTCGCGGGGTCTGGACCTCCATCGCAGTCCGGATCGTTGTCAGCCTCTTCATCCGACCCGCCGACCTCATATGCAGAGGCCTCCGAATCCTCATCGTCTGAGCATTCGGATCCGGATTCGTCCGGATCCTCACACTCTTGGTGGAGCTTGGTGGCCCCGGTGCTTGGCACATCGAGATGCTCCTCGTCGGGATGGGGAGCCGCAAAGTCATCGTCCTGTCCGACAGGAAAGCGCACACAAGCGCACACACAGAACCCACGCCTATAGCAAAGCTACACGATAAACAATCAAACAAACGGCAGGCTTCTCCTCCGCTGCAG